CAGACACAGACACAGACACAGACACAGACACAGACACTCACACTCTCACACTCACAGACACTCACACTCACAGACACTCACACTCACACTCACACAGACACACACACACACACACACACACTCACACACTCACACACTCTTACCCGGACTTCTTTATAGAGTCTGAGCGAGGTGCTGGTTAGGATGAAGTATCGGTCATTGAAGCTCCCGGTGCTCAAACCCAGCAGACTCCTCTCCTCTCTGAACTTCATCATACCGTGTTTGGACACCTCCACTTTACTGGCTGTACCAAACACACACAAACATCATTACATATTCTCAAACAGACAACATAATGAACACACTGCACATGCTACATGATCTACATGAGCACATCATAGACTTCTACTGCTTCTAAATGAATTAGAATAGTGTATTATATTCTCAACCAGGCATCCAAGGTCCACTAGGGGGCCTCAATAAACTTCCAAGGGCCTCAAGATGATTTAAAATAAAACAAAACAAGCATTAAAATGTGCTAAAACAACTAAAAAAGATATTTCTAACATTTTAATTCACCCTCTCAACAACTGTTTTTTTGTCTTTGAATAACCAGGATTACAACAACCTTGAAAAAACTAAATCTATACACTATTAAATATTAATTATTTAAAAGTGTGTTTACTAGAACTTAAATTCATTGAAATTAATCAAACACCAAGGTCATTTCTATAATGAATATACATTCTGGTTATGCCAAGCTCTAAAATATTCTATCAGGTAGAAATCGTAGGTGACGGATATTTTAAAAAATCCTGATCTTTAATCACAAATAAACTGGAAAAGTCTTACAAATCGACTGGTTTAAAAGTGAAGGAAAACATTTAGCTCTTAAATCCTCCGCAATCCTGAAACTTAAATGAAAAATTAATACAGAAACTATGAGTCTATAAATCAAAACTACCAAAAAACTGCCATTGCAGCAGATATTAGCCTTTATTGAATATTGTTGTAGACAACAGTGAGTCTTTGAGTCAAATGGTTGAGAAGCAGTGTTTATCGATTAACCCACTTACATTTTGCATTAAAACATTCTATTTATGAATAATCTAATTTCTCCCCAAACTCAAACCCAGTCTCTCTTACCCAGATAGACCAGCATGGCCTCCATGGAGAAGTGCTTCTTGACCAGCAGGTGACTGTCGGTGCCCAGAGAGTGAAAGATGGGCAGCACTTTCTCCAGATAGTGCAGCGGCCGCTCTGACACACACACACACACACACACACACACACACACCTGTGAGCCACTGCGTTACTGTGACGTGTGTATGACGGGTAACCAGTGTTCTGTGACTCACCCAGTTCTTCCTTCTCGTACACCTCAAAGCAGCACCAGTAGTCTTTCTCCTTAACGCTGATTTTCCGTCTGTCCAGAATCTCAAAGGTCAGTTCTGCTGCCGTCATCGTGGCAGGAATCTGGAGGTCAAACGTGAACATTTATACACGTGAACATGTAACGATATTATCAGTATCGTGATATCGCGATATCAAAACTGTCTCGATATTATCACGGTCACATGACGATATTAAACAATAGGCCTTCCGGGAAAAAGTGTAGTTTATAAAACAGAGAGTTCCGGTGCTTGATTCTGATTGGCTGAGCCGCGTTCAAAGCTGTTGTAAATTAC